CCAAGGCGCATCCCCGCACCCGTGCGCGGCGGGTCGGCCCGCCCGGCCCCTCGCCCCGCCCGTTCGCAGCACCGCGACCGCGGAGCCAGCCGGTCCGCCGCCCGCCGCCTCCACGCCACCCGCCGGCTCAGCTGGCAGGGCTGGCCTGACCCCCTTCACTCCAAAGACCCTGGATGGTGGAAATGAAAAGTACTCTTCCATGATCCCTAGAGATCCTAGGCTCTCATTGGCACATTACACGACAGCAATGAGACAGGCACACTGGCAGTCCTTTACAAGAAAGGAAGCTTAGCTCAAGAGTCAAGAATACTAGAGTACAAGTGGCACTCCAGTATTGTTCGAGTTTTATGACGTGTTTGGGAAAGCCTGACGTTACTATGCATGTGTCCTTTCCAGTCCCTGCGGCCGCAGCGAGCCGCAGGGTGTCTGCATAGTCAGAGATTCGCTTCACCTGTGTTCTTGAATTTTTCGCTGTCGTCTTATTTGTGTTGTTATTTCACTAAGTTGCCGAAGCTTGCCGATTCATTCATCCTTGTTGCTCAGAGAGTTCATAACTATAAAACTACGAATGGGTTTTTCGAATGTGGGCGCATCAAAGTGTGTGCGTCTAATACCTGCAGAGCCCTGTGAGTCCTGCACTACAACACAGGACCCAGTGTGTTGAGATTGTCCGTCCGCGCTACACTACTCGCCCCGAACCTCGCCGGGCGCCCGGAGCTGTTTCGCCGCTGCTGGGTCACGACAGTCATGGTGGGCCCCAGAGCAGCACGCGCGCACTGCCGCGCCGCACACGCGCCGCCCAAATTGTGACAGGGCGTGTTGAAACTCTCAAGTGCCGCGCGGCCGATTGTCTTTTGTCTACTCGTATGTCAACGCGGCCCGTACGAATTATGTCGAACCTACGGCCTACGGGGCGTGGCGCTCTCGATGGCGTGCCGGGTTACATGCGAGGCGGCTCCCAATTGTCTCCCCTCCACATCCTCGCGCCTCCGGACGCAGCCGGAGTTGTCCTCGAGGCCGGAGCGGGCCGGGCGGCGGACCAGAGGGGGTCGCCTCCGAAAAATGGGCGGGCCGATCACACGAGCGCCGTCTCGCTCGCTCCTGCAGCGCGTCCCTGGCTCCAGGAGCGAGCGAGGGCCAGCGGGAGGGCGGGGGCTGGCGGGGGCTGCGGGG